AAGTAAGGGTGGGGGTCTGTGTAGGGCGGGGTAGAGGTAGGAGCAGCCTTTCCTACAGTGGCTCCACGGTAAAAGAGGACTGGATCTGTCGGGGCTGCTTCCACCCAAGCTGGAGACAGCAGTAGCTCTGTCACTCTACCCAATACTTTTAAGCCACATTTGGTGGCTCTGCAGTAGCAAAATGACTCAAAGTAAACAGTCCTCAAATCCCCTTCTCCAACTTCTCTCTCTTCTCCCTCTGCAAATCCAGCACTAAACAAAAATGCAAGCGGATCCCACCTACACCTACATTTTCAAGGAGCAGTTCCTCAGGCCACAGGATCCTCACAGACCATCAGTTGACGAGGAAACACGTTCTGGGGCCTCGGGTCTAGAGTACTATTTATTTGTACAGCCAGTAAGTTATTAAATTTGGTTCTTTGAACTTTAAAAGTTCAAGTCTGGACAAAGAAGAAGTTACTTGTGGAGAAAATCTAGGGCACACAAATGGAAATGACAAATTAGATTTACATGGCTGGTGTTTAGAAATCAGCTTTTTAAATTTCCTTTCATAAAACAACACCAAAGATATATTTCTCCCCAACTTTCAGTTTATGAAAATCTGTAGTTGAATTTTTTAAAGAAAAAGTACAAGCTAGAGCTTGTTAATATCTGCCAAACATCACAGGGCTCGATTAGGTATAATTAAACACAAATGAAGTGAGCAGCACTGTAATTAAATAGCAAAAATGAATCTTTTTTATGCTTGAAATTACATTAATTTTTGTGTGTGTAACTTTCTTCATATGGATGAAAACGGTTTTCCAAAAAGTAGATGTCTTTAAAAATATGAGGCCAAACATGCACCCATGTGGAGAGAAGAATGCTGTTGTTTACAAGAATTAATTTTCTCACATTAACTAAAGTCACCCCAATAATTGGTTAGAAAAGCTTACTTTGAAAATCGTGCCAGAGACTTGAAGTCAGTTTCAAGTGGTTCATGCAAAAACGATTTACTGCTGGGAGGTGATCATGTTAAAAGCACATTGTTGGCATTAATGCTTGGCAAGCAGGAGGGGCCGTGGCTGGGCAAATTTTAGACAGTAAGAAGTAAAAGTCTAATGTGGTCACTGCAGGAAAACAAAACTTATCCTCTCTCATATATCCCAATGATGTTTATTCTCATGAGCCGAAAGGATGGCTGTGTAATATTCTTACCCACATTCACTGCTTGAAACACCTAGCATGTGTTCTTATTGAGCAATGTAAACAACATTTTGTATTTTTTGCCTCAGAAATAGGAAAAAGACACTATCAATTATCCTTCTCATAAACTTTCAAAAACTAAACCCTGTAGGGAAAGAGAGAAAAACTAAATATGGTTCAATGGGTAAATTACACAAAACAGACTCCAAATGGCTCACTGATGGGTCATGGGTGCTCCCAAAGATATAAGAAAACTATTTATTAAGCTGAATTACTAAAAAGAACCTAAATAAGAAGAAGTGATGCTTGGGGCTTTCATGGAGGGAACTGGAAACCAAAAGAGCTGATGAGATGAGACTGCTCAGGATGGCACAAGAGGGCACACAAACAGCAGGTACCACCTGGTATGAGAAGCCACAGGGATGGCTCTCATTTGGCAAGACCAAACAGGAGCCATGGAGGAACAGAAACAGATGGGTGCTTGGAAACCAGTGGCCAGGATGGAGGCTCGAAGGAGGAAGGAGAGGATGGAGGCTGACCAGGGAGGAGCTCCAGCACTGCACACGAGCATTAGGTCAACACAATTTGGACAGCTATCTGTCCATTACAACAGCCATGACCTCATGTGGCAAAACTTTAATTAAAATGAAATGAAATAAACAATCCAGTTCCTTGGTGACACAAGCCACATTTCAATATGTCTTAAATAGGAAGTAGAATAATAATATATATTATTATAATATATTTAGTATTCCAGGTAAAAAGTAATTCGTTATTTATAAATGTAGTCATCTGACAAGTTAAAAAGTTTAGCCTTAGTCAAAAGATTACATTTTTCCCTTGATTTGTAAAATGGGAAGTGATAACCAGTTAAATATATTTGTTAATTTATCTGATTTAATATATTCAAAACTACTTTTCTTTCCTATGAAAGACATATTATTGTTAAAAACTTAATAAAGGCAGCCGAAAAAAAGAAACTGCAAATTACGAATGGACAGTTTAGAAATTATAGGCCCAAAATAATTGTTTATAAAAACTCAAGCTCTTTACCTTGATTAGTTAACTGGGAAGTAAAAATATATTTATATTTTCATTGGCATGTCTGATTCCTTTACCTCTCTTATGTTTTGCATGTTAGACCATGGGCAAGGCTCAGTGCTAATTTATTTGCTAAGAGCTAAAACCAAGATAAAAGACTTGGTGGAATATACTATTGATAAAACACACAAATTTGTTAAATTTTATATCACTAGATTTAATTGTCACCCCCCCTCCCCCAACTATCTGAGGCTGACTGATTCGTTCACTGCTTTAGCAAAGATTTGTTCTGTCTGCTAGAAGCTAGGTATTCTGTGTAGATAGTAAGGATGGAAGCTGAATGAGCAGGTCACCTGCCCTTGAGATGGACGATGGACACCTGAGGTCACACAGGCAAATGGGATGCATTTATAACATTTGTGCATTTGAGTGCAGCTTAAGAATCTAATATTTCAGTGACATCATTACCTTTCCTTTTATTCTTTCTCACTCAATTTGTCCTGGTCTTTATTTTAAGTGAAGAAAATGATAATAAATATTTAAATAAAAATTAATAAGTACATAAAGAACTTTTTGAATTGCTTCCCTTTGGCTGCTTCCAATGTAATGGGGTTGGACAGCTATTTCAACGCTCAGGGAAAAGTGCTACCTGGAGAAAAATATTTCTCTGGGTGTCCTTAGAACATTATGAAATATGGAAAGTGTTATCAGATAATCTCAGAAGATAGATTTTTTTTAAATAAAAAATATTAGAGTTGATAGTACCTTCATTGTCTGGTTTGATTCTCCAGGAATAATTTTGAGGTTATAGTCTCTGGATTTTAAGGATGAAGGTTAGGGATCAATTTCTTAGAAATGATTTACTCAACTTGGCATCTGTAAAGTTTCATTTAGATTTTCACAGAGGTTTGGGACATAAAGAACTTTTGAGGGGTGGAAACATCATCGTCTATTTTCCTCTTGGGCACTATTGCATTTTTAACTATGTTCACTGAATCCTAGGTATGCAGATCTCCTATAAAGAATATTTATACAACTCACAGAACAAAACACATGTCTGAAAATGCATGTTACTAAAATCCACAGATTAAAATATATCAGCTGAGATGCTACAGTTAACTAGACTGTCACACACAGTTCGATGGTCAGCCAGTTTCAATCCAAAGGAAAGCCCAGGATACACAAAGCCACCACTTATTTAACACAACAACCAGAGAGAGGCCATGCGCCAGGAATTACTGTGGAATGCATAAATCTTCGTGTCCTACTGTTTGTAGATCATTGATCAAAAATCTATGAGTGACAACACTCAACTTTAAATAATGGCAGTCTGTAGGGGCAAAGGACTTCTCTTTTGAAAGTAAGTTTAAATAAAAAGAAAAACATTTTGTTCCTTTTCTAAGAGGAAGACTTTGAGGCTTTATTTAGAACAACAACAAAAATGATACATCAATTCTCCACAACTTGTAACATCTTCAAAAGGTCAGAAAATAAAGCAAATAGACGTAGAGCTCTGAACCTGCTCTCAAGAAAGAAGAGCCCCAAGAATATCCCAGACTCAGAAATATGCTAGAACACATTGTTTCTTAACAAACAGTGGTTAAAATTAATATATGTAAAAATGATCCTGGGAGTAACATACGCACAACCTGGGGATATTGATAATACTTGCATTGACAAAGAAATGTTCAAAACATTGGTTTGGAAAAGAACTGCTCTCATGGAGCATCGTTACTTAAGACACCATGGAGCTCTACTTCTTAACTAGCAATGGCAACATTCATTTTAAAAAAGAGGTTTCAGTACATGCAAGCATTATCACTTTCTGTTATCAATGCTTATTTTTAAATCTTTAGTAGACTATCAATTCTTTTTAATTAATGCAAATAAACCTTAATAATCCTATTCTTTCAATAAAATACAATAAACACCAAGTTATATAAAACAATGACATTTATTGAATTCTGGTTATTAGAACCTACTTCTTTTATCTCAGTAAGACACACAGTCAAAAGTATTGAAGAGGAAATTGTGTTCTATTTGGCTAAAGTGAAAAAATGAACCAAGCATTCTGCCATGGTGTCCACATCTTCACTAGTAATTAACGAAAAAATTTAGCTAAAAAGAGTGCATTTAAAAAACACAGATCTACAACTTAACCATGTACACCATACCTTAGACAACTCCATGCCTGGCCCACACTGCTTGCAGAGAGCACAATTTCCAGACTGATCCCTGAATTCTTGTTGTCTACAGTCCCCTGTTTCACAAATCACTTTACATACCTGAAAAAAATGTTTTACAAAACATTATCTCAAAGTAAATTAATTGCATTTTTTGCAAGGAAGAAATAATATCATCACTATAATTCCTACAATCACTGAATGTAAACATTAAGTCAGAGTGAGACCAATTTAATTTTCACTTTAGGAAGAAAAACCACTTTTTTAATAAGTCAATGGAACAAATAAATCAATATGCCTGATTCTTCTCTGTATTCTCTGAATGAGGTCTCCTGTTTTCTTGGAATCAACTGCTATCTTCCTCTGATACATTTCTGAGGACCCAAGTAGAAATTACTTAGGAGATGCTCTCTTTTCTAGGAGGATGTATAAAAGAATAGTCACGCAGAGACCCAAGGTCCTTCAGCAATCTCAAAAATTCTGATTTCCAAAACTATATGTTTTGATCATCAAGAAATATAAGCCTTTTCAAGGATAATAAATTAATTAATTAATTAAATCAGTATAGCTATAGGAACTCTGCTCTTATCCTTTAGTTATATCTGTTCTAGTTCTGATGTAGAAGTTTCGACCTTTTCAGGTGAACTGCATTTATTTAGAGATTGTCCTTCAAAAACTCCTGACAATTGTGGGATCAGTAAAATTTTTGATGATGATAATAGTAGCTAAACACTCTGAAAGATTCCAAGTAAAAGTACTATGTAAATATGAACTTATATTCTTACTGATTACCATTTAACCATTTAAATAGGACCTAATGATATAGTTTGGTGCACAGCATAGGACTTAAATGGAAAGATTATCTATTTTGGCAAAAACAAAGGTTGTAAGTCATTTTCCAAAATATAGCCTTTTTTTTTCTTGTTTTATCTAAAAACCAGTAAATTCACTTTATATATACTATCATCCTACAAAAGTGTGTTAATCTGCTTCTTAACAGTATTTTGTAAAAAATGTCAGAAGTAATAGAATTTCAGATAGGTGACAATATTCAGTTCAACCTTTTATCATTAGCAGGACTGCCCTCAATGACATTCCTGACTGTAATTGTGTTTTCTGAAATGAAAGTTGAAAACCTAAGGAAGCACTGGGAGAACAGAGACTGCTATGGATAAAACCTATCACACATAGGTGCACAGAGAATTGTTTTTGATGTTTATAATAATGAGCAATTATTCAGTATAAACTACCTCCACCATGTAGCAGGAATTTCTGTAATGACATCTGCCAGCATCCTTATATAAAATCAAAGACTGAACCTCCAGAGCAGGCAAGAGGGAGATTTCAAGGTGGAATTTAGGACTAGAACATGATTTAGCGCTAAAGGTCTAATAATCTCCTCCTTCCTCTCTTAACTGCCCTTGACTATCAATCTTAGAGGAGTCTGATTTTATTTGAGAGAGGTAGGAGATTCCCTCCCCAACAAGGCGACTACAGTGGCTTTGAGAAAGACATTCCCCAACCTCCCTCCCAGGCCTTCATTCCAATGCTTAACTACCTCAACTGAAGGAAGGGAAGCTTTCCTTACATCTGCCTGAATCTCATACTCCAAATGCACCCCATTTCCTCTAATTTTGTCTTCCAAGAAGACTTTAGGTATTGCCTTCAGTGTAAATAATGTGTTTCATAGTTGTAGATCATGATTATATTTTCAAACTAAATTAAGTTTCAATTCTTTTGAATACCTTCATAGATCTTTTGTGTCAAGCTTTCAAACATGAAAATTCTTCACCTGTCCTTAATGCTTTTTGGAACCAAGGATATAAAAAACTATATAAAAGTAACAGAACTTTCAAAAATCAATTCTAAATACTTCACAAACTGTATGAGTCATGGGCTCTAAGTTAGACGCTATGGTCTTGTTAGGATCTAGGATGTGTTGTGGGAATGCCTGTAAACCCAAGGCAATAATTATCATGGAGCTGTAAGTAATGTTGTGATTTTGACTTCATCTAAATTTAAATAAAATAATTTTAACAATTGTTACAAACATCCAGATGCAGGAGCAATCTTTGATTTATTAATTAAATATAACAATTATAAAATGCTATTTGAAAGGAAATTTTAAAATATGGAATCAGACATAAAAAATTGTTTTGGTACCACTTATATGAATTCTTTCACCACACTCTTTTTAAATTTCATTTTATTTATTAATTTTTAGAGAGAGAGGAAGGAATAGGGAGATAGAGTGAAATATTAATCAGGTGCTTCCTGCATGTGCCTCATCCAGGGATCGAACGTGCAACCTGGGCAGGTGCCCTGACTGGGAATGGAACCGGCGACCTTTTGGTGCACGGGACAATGCTCAACCAATTGATCCACACCAGCCAGGGCTCACCACATTCTTATGAAAGTAGAGTTGACTTACCAAATAGGCTAGTAAAACTACAATGGTGAAAAATGTTTTCTCTTGTTCTAGTAGCACTTTTAAAGCCATGGTTCTTATTAAAGTATTTATTGTTGAAGAGTTCTAAAAGATAAGAAGATACAGATAACATTAATAACAATTAGTGACTGTGCTCTGTATTTACTGTATAATGTTTATTATTTTCTTATATATACTAGATAATAGTATTTATGTTTTAAAAAGAATCACCTTTAAAAAGATACAATAAGCATATAATATATAACTTTAAGAATTTAAGTTATTAGAGTTAACGCTTTGTCTATGTATACACTATATGCAAAACTCCTACTGGTTTTAAATTCCTAGGCCTTTGTTTTCTATCCAAGTATCTATAGTGTCTAATCTACTTCACCCAGTAGGGGATTACATTTAAACAGTGAGTACGTAAACCTTCCATTCTATGGATTCAATCATTGAAAACGGGAAAATAATAGTGATTAAAAAAACAATTAACACCTGCTAAGCACTATGTGCCAGGTACGACTTTCATCATGTTAGATCATTTAATCTCTACAACCACTCTAGAAGGTAGATACTATTGTTATCCCCATTTTAGAGAGGGGAAACTGAGGCTCAGAGAGAGCTGAGTCACTTGCCCAGGGTCACATTGCTGGTAAGACATAGAGCTGGATACAAATGCAGGTGGGTTGGCTCCAATGTCCCTGTGTCACTATACCCTGCAAAACAATCTGGATCATGGACCTTCAGCTCCACTAAGAAGCAGGCACAGCTAACATTTGTCATTTGTTCCCCAAACCAGTTCAGTGCAAATTATATATTAGCAGAAAAAAATATGCACTCATTTAAAAACATCTAAAAATCTCTTACGAGTGATGAAATTGGAGGCACTAATGTGACATTTCAATAAAAGATAATTCAAGCCTCTTTATCTTCACCAGAAAGGATCTAAAATATAGAAACAAATCTGGTTGGTTTTTTTTCAGATCCAGACAATAGCATGGAAATAGACTTTTTTTAAAAAGAAGACTTATCTGGTAAAGTCCATCTATCAGGTAGAGAAACAAGGGTTCAGTTTCCCTTTAGGGTTGAATCTTCCAAACCTAACAGAGACCCAGAGCAGATAATCTGACTACTTAAAAAGAAACGAGAGCAGAGAACCAGACCTCTGGGGCAAATAGCTCAAGAAAAACAGTAACAATAACAAACAATAAAAAAGGAAGCAGAGTTGGGCAGGTTGCTGTGTCAACTGCTAGCCAAGCAGCCAACCTGGAGTATGCCTGAACACAGCACAGACATACACAACCCAGATGATCCAATTTTAGCTCCCTGAGCAGGTCCAATCATCAGGGCAATAAAAATATCACTTTTAAGTTTGTCGAATAAATGACTCATTTTTAGTGAATTCAAACAGCTTTTATTGCTTTTCCAGCTTCTTGACGATAGCCTTTCTCCCCCCTTGCATATCTCAAAATCACCCAGCAATTACCCAACCATTCAACTCTCTGCTTGTGTAGACACAGGATTGGGGTCAGAAGATAAAATCACATTCCATGAAAGGTATGCTGCAGGTTATCTTTCTCCACATGATCCCCCAAATTTTTTAATGTGCTAATTTTTCAAAGTGAAAAGCAAAACCAAATCATTAAATCTATATGGAATTAAACTAATATGGAAAAGAAGGTATATATACCAAAGCATTTACACAATATATGAGAAAAAAAGAGATGGATGGAGTCATTGCATACCATAATTGAGCAACTAGTTTGGACAGAATACTCTCTTAGGATCCTGTACTAATGACTGAGGAAGGCAGACAAATACCGCAGCATATTCTTGTAAAGGCAATCACTGACATACACAAGTTAGAAGGCATGGTAATATGATTTTGACTTCATAACATACACCTATTTTATGTCAAAATATTATCAATGGTTAGGTTCATATTGTGGCACTCTTGGTGAATTTTTCCTAAAAATTCTTTATAGTGCAAATATTTCATTAATAATGAAAAAAAGCTAAGTGACATGGTCCTCCTTGAAAAGTTCATAAAAACCATATAAACACTATCAAAGAAAGGAGAAAACTGGATAAAGTGCTATGATTTTTTTTTTAATATTACAGATGTCCCCTTTTTATCCACTGATCCCCTCCACCCCACATCTATCCCATCCCCAGGCCTTCCCCATACCAATGTCTGTGTCCATGGGTTATGCTTATAAACATATAAATTCTTTGCTTAATCTCTCCCCACCCACACCCCCCTCCCCGCCTTCCCTCTGAGATCCCTCAGTCTGTTCCATGTTTCTATGTCTCTGGATCCACTTTGCTCATCAGTTTATTTTGTTTATTATATTCCACATATAAGTGAGATCATGTGGTACTTGTCTTTCTCTGACTGGCTTATTTCACTTAGCATAACACTCCCCAGTTCCCCTCATGCTGTGCCAAAGGATAAAAAAACCTTTCTCTTTACAGGTGCGTAGTATTCCACGGTGTAATGTGCCACAGCTTTTTTGTCCACTTATCTACTGATGGGCACTTGGGCTGTTTCCAGATCTTAACTATAGTAAATTGTGTTGCTATGAACATAGGAGTGCATAAATTCTTTGTGATTGGTGTTGCGGGTTCAGTACTATGATTTTTGCAACACAAAATGTTTTTTTAGATTATAGGGTAGAAAAAATTAATGAAACTATGCCCTGTGTGCTGACTTGTATTGTTCTCCCAATACACATGCTAATTTGAATAGTCTGAATGGAAAATATAAAAGTAGCATTGCTCTACCTAAATTTCCAGGGGTACAGGTAGGTTTGTCCCCACAAATTATCTTCTAAACTTCTTAGCTTTGCCCCTGTGCCTTTTATAATTTCACCCGATGGCCTGCTAGTCTCACCACTGGTCCATCCAGCTCAGCCCTACCACCATTTTTCTCCTGAATACCTGTAATTGTTCCCTTGTGCACAGGTCCTCCTTGATCTGGAGGGCCTTTCTCCTACTGAATCCCTACCAGAACCAGCTCAGTTGTCACCCTGCTGTCCATAACAAAGCACAAGGAATAGAGTTGTTCCTTATGGCCCCTTCTACAGTCACATACAGCATCTATCATGTTCCACAGCAATTATGCTTATTTGTGTCTCAGTTTATTCACTAGATTATATGCTCTTTAAAACTGGGACAACACCTTATTACTCTCTGTATTCTCAGGGTCTAGCATGGTGCCTGGCACATAAAAGGGCTCAATGAATGCTTGGGAATTAAGTGAAGAAGCACATAAAAAGGAAGAATATTTTGTGGAAAACAACGTGAAATTTGGTTGCACATAACAGACTTAATTTTTCTGTGGTGTACAGAGTAAACATTCTAATATATACATATACATATATAATCTTACTACACCTTCAAGGCATTAAGTAATACAGTAATATATTTGTAAAAATCCAAATTCACTTTAAAAAATGCAAGATTTCTTACATTGGGAGCTGGAGACTAAAATGCACCACTGAAATATGTCACTTCTCTTTTCTGTAACTTCCCTTTCATCCTGGCTTTTTATACCAAGAGGCTGGGAAATAATTTAGGCTGAGTAGATTATCCTGACAGCAGTCAGGATGCTCTAAAGTCCAGGTTTACCCAATATGGGTAAAAATAGCCTGAGTTTTATTGGGAACTGTCAAGGAAACATGGCAATTAGAACACCTGGATTTTCAGTCCCATTTTGAAACTACACAGCTACAGATAGAAAAATGAAATCTGTTTCCGGGGGGGCCCTCGTGAGGATTAACTGAAATAATGCAAACAAAGTGCCTAGAACAGATTAAAAGCATAATCAATGGTGTTGCTGATGTTGTTACTGTGTCTGCTGTTCTTAAGAACACCACTTACTAGCCGTGTGACATGGACAAGTTATGGAAAGTTCACTGATAGAAACTTTCCAGCATGCCGGAAGTGCTAAGTCAGTGTCAGCAATGATGGCTACTGTTATTAATGTTATTACCATGAAGATCAAAGGATCCAATGTATATGACAGTGTTTTGAGATTGTAACCTGTTAGACAAATGTGAGACATTTTTCAGAGGGTTTTAGACCTTTAGACATATAGGCTTGCAGAAAGTATCTGAAGACTAAGAATCAATCCAAAGTTAGAACTAAGCATTTCTAATGTCAAGTACTGTGTTAAGGCTTCATAAAAATAGAGCTTTTCCCTACCACAATCTAAAGTAGATATTTATCCTTATACAATGGGAGGGAATACTGTGGGTCAAAGGACACGTGTCCTAGTAAGGGTGGAAATGAATTTAATTCATGCCTATTGACTCCAAGCAAAACAGGGCTCTTGCCCATTCTGCCAGACTGACTTCTGGTTGTTCCTATGTCACAGCATCCAATGACCCCTTCCATTTGGCATAGAACTACATCAACAAAACTGATCAACAAAAACAAAACAATATAACAAAGTAATACATTTCATAATTTATCCATTCAATACACCCTGATTAAAGAGTTATTAAGCACCTGAAAGGAGGCAGTATCTGATTAGGGAGGACACCTACAAAGGTGCACTATTTTTTAAAGAATGGTTTATTAATTTTTAGAGAGAGAGGGAGGGAGAGAAGCATCAATGTGAGAGCACAACATGGATCAGCTGCCTCCTGCAAGCCTCCACCGGGGACAGAGACCGCAACCTGGGCATGTACCCTGACTAGAATCAAACCGGAAACCCTTTGATACACGAGACAACGCGCAACCAACTGAGTCACACCAGCCAGGGCCAAAGATGCACTTTTGAGGGCACTCCCAGCTTAGCAGAGGTGGTAATATCTCCTAAACATCTTTTAATATAGCCAGGTTTATGTAGAAATAAACAATTTGGCTAGTGGGGTGTTAGGAGTGTGACTTTGAATTTCTTGGAATAAAATGAAATACCTTAAAGAATGCTTTGGCATTCACAAAAAGAAGGAAAATTTAATGAAATAATAAGTGCTTAAGTACTAGTATTTGAAATTAAAATAAGTCAATAAAAAGGTACTTATTAAAATTGGCTTTAATTTCTGGGAATTCAGGGTCTGGCTCAAATAGAAAAATGTTTTTATATACTTCAGTATTCTATTTATTTGGGGGTACTTATCAAACAAGAGACATACAAATTATTGATATTATGCACAATGGGTCCACTGGGGTTGTCATAGTTTGCCGAAATACACAAAATAGACAACACCTACTAAATATCTGGCAACCATTTTGGCAGAATGTGTGCAGAGAAACTTGTCCTAGCTAAGCAACAAGAAGACGACTAATAATTCCTAGTTTACTGTATTCTAGGAGTATGGGATTTCTGCCTCACTATCTGATATTCAACAATATCCTGCACGGTGGCCGCATCAGGAGAACCAGGCAAGCACAAACATTCTGTTAAGCTACACAGAAAGTGATTACTTATCAAATCAAGCTGCTCAGGTTGCTCATTTGAATGAATGGTAACTAACACGAATGTGTCCTAATTGGCTAGCCTCTAAAGGAGATAAATCCAACAGATGCTGAAATGCACACCTCTTCTACTTCCTTATCCAAACCATGAAAAGCTGTGCTGGTGTGTCACCAGTCAAAGAGGCAGGGCCTCAGGGATGGCAGTTCACAGGAGCCCAGCTGGGAAGAAGCAGTTCCAGGTCACATCTCTCAATTGACTGGGCAGGCCACTGGATCCCAAACCACTGTGGTTATTTCAACCTGCACTTCCCTCAACTGTTGCTCCCTCTTCGGTCCTGGGGCCTTCCTATACTTTCATCTACCATGCCTGGCCCCCAATTTATCAAAGTTCTTCTGGGATCTCCCAAAATGGACACCTCTCCTTTATTCTTCCATAGCATCCTAGACTTATCGCTCTATCTCAGAGCATAATTACCTGGTTATTTCTTTCTCTTTGTAGCTCTTGTGCTGCCAGCAGCAGCATTATTTTCTGCAGTCACCACAATATTAAATTTTAAAAGTAAGTTTTCATATTAAAAATGAATAATTTTCTTGAAAAATTAGAGAATTTGGCCACCAGGAGTTCCACAACAAAGCAACATGAGCTATGGCTGAGCATCAGTTGTTCCTCACATAAACAAACATACTTTCTAGGCTCCAGTTTCCACCACTTCCTATTGTCACACAAGGTTTCCTTCCTTCATTTTATCACCAACCAAGCCACTGGAGTATACCACCAACTATTACAGTTTGAGGACTTAATGACAAGAAATGTGATCTTGCTCTACAACTGTAATTCACCCAAAAATGTGCCCTATACATGTTGAATGAATGAAAAAAATCATTAATTAGGGCTAATATTTTACCTCTTAGGGTTGTTGTAAGGACAAAAACAATATATGTGAAAAATATATGCACCTATAACTTGAGATTGAAATATAAGTTACTATGATAGAATCCAACTTAGGTCAGGATCCCATTTCTTGAAAATAGTGCTATAATATTGACAACGATCACTAAGGAGGAAGATCTAGCACTCAGATTTCTAATTTTAATAAATCAGTAAACTTTCTGAGAAGGATATTTATTTTTGATCTTATAAATGACCCAACTATATGACTCAAAATAATTCCAATAACCAGGATAATTTTTTCAGAATAAATTAATTTTCTTTACTTTCCCATTCTTTGAAAGCCACCTGATTTATTATTGAACATGAGTGCATGCAACAGGTAATAGTTTTTCTAGTAAAACTATATTAACATTATGTAATGCAATATATACAACTCATACATTTTTCCAATATGCAATTAGCTGAAATATATTTTTTTAAATCAACATTAAAGTAAACTGGCAGGCTTACAATTTATAAAATCAGCATTGAAATAAGGCCTGTGCTATACATACAGAGCTTTACATTTTATCTTTATTGATTTCAGAGAGAGGAAGGGAGAGGGAGAAAGTTGAAATATCAATGATGAGAGAGTCGTCATTGATCAGTTGTCTCCTGCACGACCCCGAATGGGGACTGAGCCCACACCCGGGGCATGTGCCCTGACCGGAAATTGAACCACGATCTCCTGCATGCCTTAGGTCGATGCTCAACCGGTGGGCCATGTCTGGCCGGGCCCGTGTTTTACATTTTAATGGTGTAGCATGATGGCCAAGAAATACTGTCAGTCCCACATGCTAAGAGAATAAACAATCAATTAGAAACTCAGGGTACTGTCATTTCCAAACAGGACAATAACCACTATAGCCTCTAGCATTTCTGTACCTTAGCCTGCAATTTCACTGTGTTCTGAAAGTTGTTCTTCCTGCATCATGGAGTTGGCAGCACTTTCTGCAGCCTAGGAAGCTCACAAAGCTGTGATAAAAATGTAATAAAAATATACATATTGTTGTTGACTAGGAAATGAGAATGATTTTCCATTTTTTTCAAATCATGAAATATTTTCTACTAAAAACTCTATAAGCTCTAAAGTGTTCTGTTAAAACATTAGGGACCTCTCACTGTCAGGCTCCAATAATTTTTTTTTAACAGAACTTAAAATAGGATAGAATTTGAGACTAATTCCTTTTATGTCTCTGAGTTGCAGGCTATCACCTTTGCCTTAGGAAAATAACTGTCATACAGTGTTCTCGAACTGTTCAATCAACAAGCATATTGTAACTAAGGTAATTTTCACAAAATTCATAAATGTTTACCCTAAAATACAAATAGAACAATTGCAGCATTAAGGAGTAAGGGCAACTCAAGCATTGACACAGTCTATTCAAAGAGAATTGTTCATAAGCATTTCTAGAACACAGCTGTTTAAATTTTTATTTTAGAAGTGAGTCTGGATAGATTCCAAAACCACTCTCCATAACATTTGTAGTGTTCTTCTCCAGTATATAAGTAGCCCCCATTCTTTTAGAACTTCCTCATATTAGACCCAGCCACGCTGACTCAAGAGTGGCTAAATAACATTCATTTTCAGATATACAAGTTGCTTTGTCTCCTATAATTGCTGATAGGTGGTTCTTCTCTTTTTAAAACCCAGGTTTTAACATATTCTGTGATGTGTGGACAAGAAGATAACCCAATACTGTTTAAACGTCTTACTTTTAAATGTAAACATTTTAGACAGATAACATATGATGAATAAACCAACTGCCCAACCAGTAAATCATGAAAAGAAATTGTGTTCATACTGCTTTACTGTTCTTTTTCTTCAGCTAGAAAATTACTTTAAAAAGGCTACGACCATTTACTACTTAGCTGCCATGTGACAGCGTATTTAACTGTTTAACTGTTCCTGGTGCACATTTACTCAAGGTGGGTATTCTTACTCAACCTGAAGTCAACACAGAGATTGTTAGCCTTCTCCAGAATTTTAAATGCTTGATTTTACATATTGATTCATCAGACTGAAAAGGGCTTGCCTTTTTCCTGCATTAAAATGCCTGCAGTTTTTTGTTCATGTCGTGTTCATTTTTGAATGGCAGGACTGGCTAATCGCAGGGGACTGGGTTGAGCATGAGTTCAGAGATTAAAGTAGGTTAAAAAGAAGAATCAAATGAGTGTTAGCAGAATTCCTCACTTATGTTCCAGAACACCTCACTAGGTTCATATAGTAGAGCTATAACTAGTAAATTAAAGTAATACCTTAAGCACAACATGTGACTACTACGTGACTCAATTCTTTTCCCACCCAGTTTTCCAGGTGGGCACTTTACATTGCAGTTTCAAGTGCATAAAAAGCCTTGATATGTCCTTAACTTCACAGTCTAGATCCAGCCTGAACTCAGAGTCAAAAGACACTACCATCAGGCCCTGGCCGGGTAGCTCATTTGGTTAGTGTGTCCTCCTGATACGCCAAAATTGCGGGTTTGATCCCTGGTCAGGGCACTTACAAGACTCAACCAATGAATGCATAAATGTGGGCAACAACCAATCTCTCTCTCTCTCTCTCTCTCTCTCTCTCCCCCCCTTCTCTCTAAAATCAATAATTAAAAAAAAAAATTTAAAGTTGAGAACTCCAAAGAACTTTAAAAACACACACACTCCCATCAAAGAAACAAATAAATTCCATGAATGCCCCAGAAAATACTAATATAACATCCCAGAGTTAGCACTTACTATGGGGG